ATTTGTAATTAAATATTAAATGTAAAATGTTAAATACGGCTGAAATTCGTAGACGGGGTAGTCCATATTCGTGAGATAGAAATGTTGTAGTAATTATTAGTTAATTATTTTACTTCGGTTTAATAAAATTTAATTGGATAAAAACTTTGTAATTAGATATGTTCACATTGTTTAATTATTTATTTTTTTAGACAATATTTCACTTAAAATTTCGTTGAAACAGTTTTTTGGGTTTGAGATTTTCATTTCGTGTACTAATCAATATACCGAAATCCTGTTTATATTACTGAGTCATTAACTTTCAATAGTTTATTGAAAACTTAATAATATAAACCAATGTTCATATCGTTATTTCTTAAGCTATTAACATTATATTGTATATTGTTGACCTTGCTCAAATCACACCGGGCAATGTCGACATTGCTCAGAAAATTTGACTGTTACCAATATTTTTTGACATTGCCCGAAAAAACTAGGGCATTGTCAACAATGCCCGGTCATTCTCAGACCTTGCCCGGTTCTTGAACATTGTCCGTAACATATATTAAAAAAATACATTAAATTTCCATCATACATTAAGTAAAAATCTGCTTCTATTTTCAATACAAATAAGAATAATAAATTTAAAAAGAATAAAAATTAAATTAACTATAATGATCTTCGTATTCTTTCATTCATTCATTCATTTATTCATTCATTCTGTCCGCAGTTTAAAGTTGGTTGTATTTGATTATGTTTTTTAGTTTTTGATAGATTTTGACTTTTGACAATTTATAATTTGCTGATGTTTTTGTATTTACAATTGTAAAGCATTTGTTAATTTTCTTTGGAAAGTTCTACATTTCTCAAAGTGAAGTTCCTCTAAAATTTTTGATAATTTATTAAGTTCATTAAGAATTAAAAAAATAGTCAATTTACATTACTTTAAAAAAGTGGAAAACCTTAGTTTCTCGAAAATCGTTTACGTTTCTGAAAAAGTTTTAAATAACTCGAGAAAATTTATTTAATAGAAAACATATGAAAATACTTGTTTAAATTTAAAAGAATTGCCAAAACAAAATTATTTTAATGTGTGAACTCGATTTTTTTGGATACCCAAAAATCGACTATAATTTTTAAAGGTGTTAAAATATCATAAATATATGCGCACTAAATAGCCCATAGACATTGTAGATTTTAGCGTTAAAAATAATATAATTTTTCGTTAAAATTAAAAAATTTTTATATTTATTTGTTCCCATGAAACAAATATATTTTTAAAAATAAATTAAATTTCTTTATTAAGTATGAGAATTTTATAAATCTAATGAAAATTTATTTCATTTGTTAATGAAGATGCGCCATTTACACGCGCTTTAGAACGCCTATAAGTTGCTATAAGTAATAATTTAATTTCAGAAATTTATTTTTATACCATTAATTACTTACCGATAAAATATTTTTATTTAAATAATTTAATATTAAGATTATTCAAACTTTTTTCGGATTTAAAATAATAAAAAATGACTAAATCTAGCTAGTTGAAACTCTTATGAATTACAACATCACTGTTTAGGGAAAACGTTGTAATTCGTCAATCAGCCAATTTCTAATTGCAACGGCCGCCGCCAAGGCCGTAAAATGCTAAGTGCTAATTATTCTTTTTTTTTACTTTAATATATACAATAAACTAGGGGATTCAGTATGGATGCAGTCCAGTACTGATAACTCCGGTAAATAATCCTGAAGAAAATTCACCAGAAGCGCTCTTTAAATCTAGACTAAAATCTACTAGAGTTATTATTGAGCAAACCATTGGGATTTTAAAAGGAACGTTTAGGTGTTTGCGAAAAGAAAGGGCATTACATTACCACCCAGAAACTGCAGGTATCGAATTTAAAGATTGTATAGTATAAACATTTTCTAACAATTTGCATAAAAAATATTAAAAACTATTATCCACTTCTAAATTTGCTACATGATTTATGATATCACGAAGTTTCAAATGCCCTGAGAAGAAATTTATTTTTATTTAAATTTCAAATTATAAAAGCAAAATTTAAAGGAAAAGTATTGTTAAAGGCGATGTGAGACAAGGACGTTTTCTGTGATTTTCAATATTTCTGGGAAATGAAAAGAAATTTTGAGATAAAATTTTGAGGAAGAATAGAAAAGGGTTCAAGGAATTCTGCTTCTCTATTTATTTACTTTAATTTAATGCGAAACAATTTTAAAAAAGAAGTTCTTTACTAAGCGACCACTAACTCGAATTGGAGTTACTTCCAAGACCAATAACACATTCAAGCGATGTCTGTATATTCCCTACCATGTTGCTGCAAACTTTCGTTCCAAATGGGAATTTTAAAACTTATTTTTTGTACTTGATGTTTCAAACCGAGAACATCAGTGCAATTTTGGATAACCTTATCTATCATGCCCCCGAAATTTTAGTCCAAATTTTTTTATCATTTCAGAGAATAATATTTGAATTATATTAAAAAATTTTTTCATGGGAAACGCGTAGGAAGCTCTCACATAGCCTTAATAGTTAGATAATATACAATAAAATATAAATAAATAAAATAAAAATAAAATAATAAACATAAAATAAAAAAATAAATAAAATATACAATATACAATAAAACTTGTTATTTACTTAGGAATGATAGTAAACGCTTGTTGTATTCTTCACAACATAAGAAAATTTTATCGCTTACCACGCATTGCTGGAGAACTTGAAATAGAAAATGATGAGGAGGAATTGCCAAATGTAGAAGATATTGCAATTGGCGAAGAAGTGAGGACGCAAATAATTTGAGAACATTTTATGTAATTTCTTGTTAGTTTAATTTTAAGTTTTTTTCAATAAGTTATATTTAAATTGTTAAAATTTGGGTTTATTAATTTGTTAACTCAGCCGCACGTTCTAAATTATTATTCTTGTTTGTTCATTTAATTCAAGTTTAATTTAATAATACGTTGAAATGTTTATCGTATTTAATGCTCCAAAAAGATGTCAAAATTAATGAATTTATCAAAAATAAAGTTAACTTGGTCAACTTACAAAACTATTTAAAAAATTTTAAATATTTTTTAGAAATGGAATAGAGTGAAGGAACCAATTGTCGAGGAAATAGTGAGGTTATAAATTAAAAAATTTATAACTCAGAAATAATGCTATCAATACACTTTGCAAATAGATTTTTGAAAAAAGAGCATTCAAAGCTTTTAATTTTGGTATAATTTATTTTAAAAAAGTAAATTATTTATGAAAAAATTAATATAAGACTGCATGGTGTGCTAAACACCAGTATTCGAGTCTCTGACACCAGTGTTCGATTTCGGGACCCAGTTTTCGCGTTTTCAATTTACAGAGCGCACATAACATATTTATAAATATAAAAATACAATAAATATATAAATTTCAATAGTACAATTAATATTTTATGAAAATTAAAAAAATTAATTACTGCTCTTAGTATTTGACGTTTCTAAAAAATAACCAAGGGAAACCTAACCTACAAAAAACACGTCGAACTCAGTGTCCGAGTTGATAACTCGACAATTGGAGATTAAGAAAAATACAGCACCATTTACCGAGTTTTAATTTTATTTAAATTTCAAAAATTCACAAGAAATAGCTGATAGGTTTTCCGAAATCCTTGTCATTTTTTGCATCAGATGGAATAGATGACATTATTTAAAAAATGTAAAAATTTTCTGCTTTTTGAAAATACAAAATATGTGTCACACTAAGAATGAAAATAGCAGATGGCGTCTGTTCTCCGATTTCGTATTTAAAATTATTTTTTGTAGAAAATTGGATTTGAAATATGTGACGAAATATTTTTTTATGTGCGTACATATTGTTCAGGAATATCTTAATATTTTTACATCTCAAGTTTATAATGATATTTACTATTTACTATTTAAATTAGTCAACGCGGCTCGAACACTGGTGCCGGCTCGGCAATTGGTTCCTTCACCCTATATCAGAAAGTAAAAAAATAAAATCAGAATAGTAAAAAAAGAATGTAAAAAGTTAGACTTGAAATTTACAATCCAACACGTAAAAAGGAGAATACAGTATTTATAAAATATTAAAAAGAATTCGAAAGTAATTAATAAGAATTCGAAGGTAATTAATGAAAGTATATAATATATTTTAGAATTCTGAAAGTAGATTGTGGAAAGTGTAATGTTGAATTCTGAATGTGGAAAGTAAAATACGCAATGCGGAATGTGAAATACGGATATCGAAATGTGGAATGTGAAAAGTAGAATCTGGAAATCTGAATGTGGAATGTGAAAAGTGGAATGCGGAATTCGAAATGTGGAATGTGAAAAGTGGAATGCGGAATGTGGAATGTAAAAAGTGGAATGCGGAATTCGAAATGTGGAATGTGAAAAGTGGAATGCGGAATTCGGAATGTGAAAAGTGGTATGCGGAATTCGGAATGTGAAAAGTGGTATGCGGAATGTGGAATGCGGAATTCGGAATGTGGAATGTGAAAAGTGGAATGCGGAATTCGGTATGTGAAATGTGAAAAGTGGTATGCGGAATTCGGAATGTGAAAAGTGGTATGCGGAATGTGGAATGTGAAAAGTGGAAAGCGGAATTCGGAATGTGAAAAGTGGTATGCGGAATGTGGAATGTGAAAAGTGGAATGCGGAATTCGGAATGTGAAAAGTGGAATGCGGAATTCGGAATGTGGAATGTGAAAAGTGGAATGCGGAATGTGTAATGTGAAAAGTGGAATGCGGAATTCGGAATGTGGAATGTGGAATAGTTGCGTAATCGACCCCCAGTTTTATTTTTTCTGACTTGTCAATCCAAAACTTTTAAAATTAAGAATCTAGTAAGCTTCAAAACTTTAAACACATAGCTATTTTGACTCGTATTTGATTTAAATTTAATTTAAACTCGTAATATACTTAACTGATAAATATTTAAAAATTTATTAATATTTAATAAATAAACGTAATTGTCTGATTCTTTTCATAAAACAAAATAAAAAATTCTTACATTATTAAATTCCAAGTCCATTTGTTCGTTTCCATTTCTTTATCGCTCTTCTCTTTCTGCATCTTCACTTTCTCGATTTCTTACTTGCTCTCTCCTTTCTCGTTCTATTACATCTCGCTCTTCTCTTTCTCGATTTTTTCTTGCTCTCTCCTTTCTCGTTCTATTCCATCTCGCTCTTCTCTTTCTCGATTTTTTTCTTGCTCTCTCTTTCTCGTTCTCTTCTTTCTCGCTCTTCTCTTTCTCGATTTATTTCTTGCTCTCTCCTTTCTCGTCGACTTTCATGTCTTTCTCTTTCCATATTTTCTCGATATTCTTGATCTTCTTGCTCTAGATCTTGATGTTCTCTTTCTCGCTCTTCTCGTTCTTTTTGTTCGTTTCGTTCTTTACACTTGTGTTCTCTATTTCTTCTTTCACCGTCTTCCTTTTTCTCTTGTTCCATTTCTTCACGTTCTTTTACTTTTCGATTTCTTCGTTCATGATCCCCTTGCACTTCTAGACTTGTTTCCGTTTTAGTTTCATCGTTTTTAAAGAATAAAATATTATCCTCAATTTCAACCTTAAAAATGATATATAAAGATATATTAATACTGCAGTTACAACAAACATAAAAAATTAAATTGATGTACATAATCATCCAGGAGGCACATTTTTGTCCCCTCTGAGTATTCTCAGTAAAATTTTTTTTTATTAAACATAACAAAAAAATTTTGTAGCTTAATGAATTTTTTCATTACTTAAATTAAATTAATTAATTAATTTATTTATTCACCATTTTAAAACGTATTAGTATTATTGAATATGGAGAAATTTTTAAAGTTGATAAAATTCGTATATTTTTTTAAGATAACAATTTTTAAAATAAGTAAAAAATAAAATGTTTTCAATTTTATTAAAATTAAAAAAGAAATTTTGCAAATTGCGCAGAATTGATTTGAATTTTCTCTGACTCGTATACAAAACTTTATTTTATTCTCGACACATAAAAAATTTTAAAGACATTTTCAATTATTAAAAATAGGAATAATTTTTACCAGTAAAAGTTTTAATTAACATTCTTATAAAACACAATTTTTGTTGCATTTCTAAAAGTTTAATATTTATCTATTAAATTACTTCAATTTTTGCTCATTTCCCTTATCAGTGACAACTCTGATACATAATTGATTTTGGAAATTTACTTTTATATACGTAAATTTTGTGTACCGTCGTAGTACGGTACTTAAGGACTATTTTACCTTGGGATATTATTTGCGTCGCGCAGGATTTCATATTCTGTATGTTCTGTTTTTGGCAACTTCTACCTTCTCCTTCAGAACCAATAAGTGAATCACAATCTTCTACAGAGTCCTATAATAAAAATGTATTTATGTATGTTAAACTTATAACTTGTGCATATGATTGCAGTGCAAAGGTTTTATTGAATAAGTAAATATTTAGATTGGACTGAAAAATCTGTTGAGTACTATTTAAAATGTAGAATTGAGCTGCCGAGTCAAAGAAGGGCACATAACCAATTGAATTCAAATGGGTTATGCGCCCTTCTTTGATCCGGCAGTTCAATTGAGCTTGCATAAAGAAAGTTACCTCAATATTATTAGTAGGAATATTTTCCTCATCCTCTTCATTAATTAGATTTAGTAGTTCCCTTGCAAATTTTTCACTGGGAACAATTAGTTTCTTTTTTCGTTGTGATCGTGCTGCTTCAACCTGTTTATAAAGAAATTAATGAATACATATATAACATACAATACTAATAATTGGTAATACTATTTAATAAATGTATTGTGTAGTTATAAAATAAACAAGATAATTTAAACAGCTTTCATAAACGCCTTTTACAGTATACAATTAAAACATAAAAAAGTGTAGCAAAAAGTGTAATTCAAAAATTCCTTGACGCCCAAGGTTTAATTGCAAATAATTTTTTATTATCCCAATAGATAGATTTAAATTACGTACAATTTAAAAAATGAATTTTAATTAATTAGTTTTAAGTAAAAAGATGTATGGAACTAATAACCTTTCTTTTTTTCTCTACTTCACAGTCGCTTTCATCCTGTTCAGTGTTATCTTATTTTTTCTTCCTTTTAAGTCGTTGATTTCTATCTTTTCCCCTTACTGTCACTGCATCGCTATGCTCTACATTATTTTTTATTTAGATCACGTCCAAAAACTTTTTTTATTTAAAATTGATTAAATAAAGTTGCAATTTGTCTTGAACTTACTGTTTTAAGTATTTTTCATGCAGGTATAAATATGATAAAAATTGTTACACAAAAAAATTTCACATGTTTAATAACTTTATATCTATTGAAATTTCAATTTATTTAATTTTATATTAACTAAAATTTTAATGGCTTTTACGAGAACTAAAAATTGTTTAGTAAAATAACTAAACAAATTTATATTAAATATATTATCAAAATTTTAACTCTTATAATTAAAAAAACAAGATTTTAAAAGTCTTAGCTATGATAATCCTAGGTCTGCAATAGTTTAAAATTTTTTAAAAATATTTCTACAACGAAAATCAGACAAAAAATATAAGTTATACTTCAATATACAAATATTTAATTTTATTTTAAAATTCTTATAAAATTACAGATGATTATCTTTAAACTGACATTCTACTTAAGAAACATTTAAAATTTTGTTAAAAGCATCGATACAAGGTTGACACTAAAATTTGATTTTGCATTTTCCTGAAATTTCCCTGACTCAAATAAAAGAATTGAAAAGATTAAAAAGATTCTGAATTAAAAAAATTAGACAGGAATTTCAATATGTTGTAATTTTTACTTGGGACAATTCAGAAATGACTTATATATGTTCTTAATAAGATAAATAAATCCAATATGTGACAGTGTCTGAGAAAAAAGTGTTTATGACCGAAAGATCGATTTTTTTGAAAAATTTTGACCTTCAATTTTGCAAATCCTTTCTAATTGTACCAATTTACGAATAACCTAGTTGTTTTTTTAACTAAAATATTTATTTATTTAATAACATGACGGGACTTGCCCTTTCGTACATAAGTACTCCTAAATCTAGTATTAACAATAAATTTGTTTGACTTAAATCTAGGTTGACATTTTGTTATAAATTTACATATTAACATTTTTCAATTTCTATTTCGCGTAATATTACGCAATGCTGTTGTGAATCTTGTCACATTATCATCAAAAAAATTTACTTCATTAGAGATTAAATTAGCCTCTCTAGTAATACGATCAATTAAAGAATTATTTCCATAATTTGTTCTATGATACGCCACTGAAAATAATGTGTATCGTTTAGAAAACATTCTAGGAACAGATAAATTTACCACAGATAAAAGTGAAGGACAGTAAATAGCCCCATTTATCAATTTGTACAGAAAAGACATCTCCATGAAATAAAATCTTGATGTTAGAGTAGGAATATTCATTAATGCTCTCAATTCTCTATAATCATGATTTTGATAATTATAAGGAATGTTTAATATTCTCGCAGCAAATCTAAGAAATTTGTTCTGAACACGTTCAATTCTGATTATGTGGAAGACATAGAAAGGAGACCATATTATACATGCATATTCAATAATTGATCTGACAAGCGTCAGATATAATATTCTTATTGTTTCTTGGCTACAAAATACCGAAGCAGTCCTCATTATAAACCCCAAGGATTTCAAGGTCCTAGACACAACATCAGTAACATGATTGTTAAAACTAAGATTATTAGTAAACAGTACACCCAAATCACGCACCTCATTCACTCTCTCCAAGATCTGACCATGAATAATATAATTGCACAAATTAACTTTTCCTTTAGAATAAGAAACAACATAACTTTTTTTAATATTAATACTTAAGTGATTTTTTATACACCATTTTTCCAACCTCCTCAGATCTTTCTGTAAATCTGAAGTATTCTCTTTAACTGTGGATGAGTTAATTATTTTATAAAATTTTAGGTCATCAGCGTAGAGTAAGAACAGGGAGCGCTTGAATATACGTTTAATATCATTTATATACAAAATAAACATTAATGAACCCAAACGCGATCCCTGAGATACACCCGAAGTTGCCAAAAAAGATTCGCTAAAATTGCCATCAACTTTTTCTACCTGATACCTGTCAGAAAGATAACTCTTGAAAAAATCAACAATATTCTCAGAAATACCTAGTGACTTTAATTTACTTAACAAAATAACTTGGGCCACCTTATCAAATGCCTTCGACACATCAGCATAAGTAGTGTCAATTTGAAAACCCTTTTCAATATTATTTGTCAGAAAAGTGGAAAAAATACCAAGATTAGTTAATGTTGATCTTCCCTTCACAAACCCATGTTGTTCATCAATTATTATTCCAGAAACCGCATCATAGAAATTATCAAATATAATACTTTCAAATATTTTTGCGCAGGTACTTAAAATTGTTATGGGTCTATAGTTCTTGGTATTATTTCTGTCTTCAGACTTGTAAACAGGGACTATTACTCCCCTCTTCCACTCAAAAGAAAAAATGCGAGAGTCTAAAGATTTATTAAAAATAATATATAATGGCTCAATTAATGAATATCCACACATCTTTACAATAGAAGGAGGAACTTTATCAGGACCAGCCCCCTTATTAATATCAAGTTCTTTAATCTTTTCAAAAATATTACTCCTTGTAACTGATATAAAATTCAAATTCACATCAGCACTACGTCTAATACGCGAGTCTGGTAATTGTGTTGATGGTAAAGTATAAACAGACTTAAAATGTTTCGCAAAGAAACATTTGCATAATAATTTGTTTATAACAATAGCAGCAATGTTTGGACAATTATCTAACTACAAAAAATGTGTTCAGCTTAAAAAAACACATGAGAAACACTATTTAGGTCCTGTAAATATATAAGGTTTCAAAAAATCTATATTTTGATGAAAAATTTTACGTATCATTTTGGTTATAAGCACCTTTTTGTCAGACGCGGTTCCACATGTGAATTAACTTTAATATTTATTTTCTACTGTAACATTAGGACCTGAAAACTTAAAAGAAACTATCGTCCAAAAATGTGTACTTTTTATTTATTAATGATTCCGATATAAAAATTGTTTTTATGAAAATCACTAATCTATTTTTTAGGGCGATAAATATCTTTATTAACATTCCAGATCACATTTATGGATTAAAAACAATTATAATAAAGGCTTGAACAAAATTTTCAATTCTTCATTTCAATACAAACAACAGAATTTTAAAAATAATATTTTGCTTATAGAAATAGTATTTTTTCTTTAAAAATATTAAACTTAGCTATAAACGTTGCATTTCTTTCGAAATATATATCATATTAAAGTTTATTTATAATTTCTTATCATAAAAATGTGAAGATGAAGAAAATAGGAGATACAGGATTCCCGAATCCAAAATCCCGAAAGCCTTTGAACTCGGAAATTTTTTTTTAAATTTATTTAAAAATCAAAGTGTAATCAATCAGGTGTAAAAAGTAGTATAACAACAGTTATAAGACTGACAATTCTTTAAAAACATTTGAGTAGTTGGTTTTGTAACATTCTATATTTCGAAAATGTATCGAATTATTTCTAATTCAATAAAATATTTCTTTTTTGGGAAATTGAACATTCGGAAAAAAGACATTCGGGAATACCAGATACCGATAGATTCAGTTATTTTGAAAATATAATAATTACCTACAGGAAGTATCTTTTAAAAAACATTTTCTTTTTTTGACTAGAATATTCGTAAACGCAAAATAATCACAAGTATTTGATTAATAACAAAGTTAAAAAAGTTAGATTATTTTGAGAAATATATAAAACATAAAGAATAATACTGAAAGTTACAGAGATTCTTCACGTCGTAATAATTAACTCTATTAAAAATTATACTTACTTCCTAAACGAAGAACATAAACAATCTCGAAATTGTCGTCATCTACACAATATACGTATTCCTTCTTCGAATCAAAACCCAATTCATTTTTCGGGTTAAAACCAGAAAGCTCGTCTATCGAAATAATGTTTGGTTCTCCTTTTACAATTCTAAATATTGAAGCATGTGTAGGCTTCATTTTAACTTTTTTTCCTTCTTCATTTGCAGCCATTTGTAACACAACACACTAATTGTTGTAATAAAATTCAATATAAACTTCAAAAGTAGATATAATTTCGCGAAGCGTCAACGTGAAAACGTGTTTCATAGCCGGCTGTAACCCTATTTGCAAATTTTTAGGTTACATTGGCGTTGTTAATAATTAAAAGATTAAATTAATAAAATTATTCGCGGGCGCCAGATCAAATGATCACAAAAAAAAATAATAATAAATCAC